CTCGCGAGTTCGCGAGCGAGTCCGCGAAAAGTCTTCCCGCGAAAGGGTGGTGTTCGAAAACACCGGTGGTTGAGAGTGGTGGCGCCGCGGAGCGCGCCGTGCGCCGGACTTGTAGCCAGGGCCGGCCGGCGCCGGTCGACGCGCGCGCGGAGCCGTCGAAGGCGCTTAGGCCTTGGACTTGGACTTCTTGGGGAGAAGCACGGCGTGGATGTTCGGGAGAACACCGCCCGACGCGATCGTGACCGAGCCGAGGAGCTTGTTGAGCTCCTCGTCGTTGCGGACGGCGAGCTGGAGGTGGCGGGGCACGATGCGCGCCTTCTTGTTGTCGCGGGCGGCGTTGCCCGCGAGCTCGAGGATCTCCGCGCAGAGGTACTCGAGGACCGCGCCCATGTAGACGCCGGCGCCGACGCCGACGCGGCCGGCGTACTTGCCCTTCTTCAGGAAGCGGTTGAGGCGCGCGACCGGGAACTGGAGCCCGGCCTTGGCCGCCTTGGAGGTGCCGGCCTTGCCGGACTTCTTGCCGCGTCCACCCTTTCCTTTGCCAGACATGATGTGATGTGTGTTGTACCTGGGGCGGGGGGACGGTGAGCGAAGGCGTACGGGGGGCGCGAGGGGCCGCGCGGCGGGCGGCGACGGACGCGGGTCGGCACGAGTTGGTTCGTAAATCTGGAGAGGGCCCAAATCGCCTCCGGAGGACAAAAGATTTTTTGTACTTCCGAGGCAGCGAGCCGATAAAAAGATCAACTTGACCTCAACCTCCCGAAATCCGGCCCGCCGATTGGTCGGACGAAAAGATCCCCGGCTCGCCGCGCACCGGAGATACAGCTCGAGGGCGCGAATCGGCCTCTCTCAGCTTTGCAAACCACACGCAAATCATCAAAATGGCCAAGACTCCCTCCAAGAAATCCGCCAAGGCGCCCAAGAAGGCCGCCGGCGGCAAGAAGAAGAAGACGCGCGTCGAGTCGTACTCCACGTACATCTACCGCGTGCTCAAGCAGGTGCACCCCGACACGGGCATCTCCAAGAAGGGCATGTCGATCATGAACTCGTTCATCAACGACATCTTCGAGCGCATCGCCCTCGAGGCCTCCAAGCTCTGCCGCTTCTCCAAGAAGGCGACGCTCTCGTCCCGGGAGATCCAGACCGCGGTCCGCCTCATGCTCCCCGGCGAGCTCTCCAAGCACGCCGTCTCCGAGGGCACCAAGGCCGTCACCAAGTTCTCGTCCTAAGCGCGAACTCGGCGACCGCGACCGTCGCCCCTCCTCGGGGGAGCGACGCCGTCGCGTCGGTCACCACCACAACCACACCGGTGTTTTCGAACACCACCCTCTCGACGGAAGACTTCGCGACCGCTCGACGCGCTCGCGACGGCCCAGGTGGGTCCAGGCGGCGCCGCGCGCGCGCCCCCGCGCGCCCCGCGAGGAGGTCGCTTTCGCCCGCGCGAGCGCGTCCGGTCGCCGCGCGGCGGGGGCGACGCGTTCGAGCCGGGGTTCGCCGAACTTTTCGCGTCGACCGCGACTCCGCCGCCATACGCGCTCCACCTGCCCCGCTCTTCTTCCCTCCCGCTCCCGTATCAATTTAAAACACTTCCAGTCTATGTGCGCACGCTTACGCACCCATGCGTCGAGCGCTCCAGGTAGGGACCGCCCCTAGGACGTCGTCGGGTCGTCGCTTCACGCGTCGCGCATGAAGGTTATCATCGGCGCCGCTAGGGGCCTACACAACCCTCGCGCGCACGCCCGACGCGTCGCCGTTGATGCGGTCGCGCGCGGCGACGGCGTGCTCGCGCGCGTCGAAGGGCACGCGGCAGCGGCCGCCGACGGGCTGCGGGACGCGGCCGAGGCGGACGCTCGCGTCGTGGCCGCGGCAGAGGTCCTTGACCTGCTTCCAGTCCATCGGCGGCAGCCCCTCGAGGTCGAGCGCGGCCGAGTCAATCTGGTCTCTGGGTCGACTCACCTGAACGGCGCACTCTCGCGCGCGGCGTCCGTTCGGGCCGCCGCGCTCCCGCCTCGGGAGCCAGGCGTCGTCGGGGCTCAGGGCCTCGAAGGCGCCCGCCCCGCGCGGCTCGCCGTCCGCGCCGAGGACGGCGAAGGGGAGCGGCAGGCTCCCGAGCTGGACGTTCGTGAGGACGACGCCGAGCTGGAAGCCGCCGCGGCGCCACCCCGGAGCCGAGAGGTTCGCGCTGCCGACGTAGACGAAGCCGCGGCCGCCGCGGCCCGCGCGCGCGACGAGCTTCGCGTGCGACGGCTCGTGGCCCGG